AATTCAGTACATAAATCTATGCTGAGCTACCCTCTAACAATATTAAATGCATATTCATCTCAAAATATAACTCCTCTAGTGAGATATTGCGCATGCGTTAACACACAAACGTAGCCAGGTTGTGTAATGGCTGGTATATGCAGCGGGGACCTTACATGCAAGATCTTCTTCCTAATTCTTAAGTGAGATCTACTGATGGAATGTTATCATATAAATCTATGATAGAAAACCTTCTATTCACTTTAAATGCATATAATGTTTGCAAAACATTATTATTCTCGGGAGATATTGCGCATGCGCTAGAACCGTTTCAGACGTGCAATACGAACTGAAAGAAACTGCATCATGCAGGTTGCTGAAAGAGACAGAGAGATAGAGAGGTGGGAGACCGAGGACAAACGGCAGGGGAGATGGTTGAGGGGGTAGAAGAAGAAAGGGGGGCTGGTCGAGGGACAAGGAAGGCAAGGGGGCGGACGGGAGGGAATGAAGTATGAGTTTTGCACCCTACAGGCTAGGGTGCTCTCCTAATTATAAACACAGATCTACTAATAATAATTTCGTACATAAATCTATTCTGAGATATTCCCTAACCATATTAAATGCATGTTTCCCACAAAATATAGCTTCTCTGGTAAGATATTGCGCATGCGTTAATTAATACACTAACGTAGCCAGACTGTGTACTGACTGGTATATGCAGCGGAGGACCTTACATACAAAATCTTTTTCCTATTTCTTAAATGAGGTCTACTGATGAAATGTTATAATCTAATAACCCTTAATATAAATCTATGATGTAATCACTCCTTTTCACTTTCAACGCATAATGTTTGTAAAATATTATTCTTCTCGGGAGATATTGCACATGCGCGAGCCCCGTTTCAGGCATGAAGAAAAATGCATGTAATAGCTTGCTGAGGGGGAGACGGGTGGGAGACTGAGCAAAGCCGACAGGAAATATATCTGAGGAGCGGGGGAAGAAGAAGGAGATTGAGCGAGGGACAGGGGAGGCAAGGGGTAAGGACGGGAAGGGATGAAATTCGTGTTTTGCGACCATACAGGCTACTAGTGCGCTCTCATGTAAATCTCGATGCTTAATTATATGCTTATACGTTGTTGCTATTTCTTTGCCAATTAGCAAGAGTTAAGCCTTTGAGTTTGGAATTTGCTCAGGCTGTGGTAATGAAGCTTGTATGCAGGCTAATTAGTTCAGTTGTCATTGTAAATGTCAGTTGTCCCAACACAAGTTTACCCTGCACATGTTCTAGTACGGTGAGCACCTGGTTCAGAACAATTCACACATGCGCCAAAAAAATTTATTGATAAAATCAGTGGTTAATAATTGTCATACCTATTATGATAATAATCATAATCATAATCATAATGTCATTATTAACCCCTGGTAAAATATATAATAATAATGTTTTTGTAAATAGCCCATAGGGGGCGCGCGACACCAATAAGTATGGCAGCGTTAGAAGTTGGAAATAATGTTAAAGATTTAGAAATACAAGAATTAGAGGTAAATCGAACATATTTCTACACACATGGTATTAATCCGTTAGACTGTCATTAGAGTATTCGGCATTGCTACCAGTTTTCCGTGTTAAAAATAGAATAATTCGCGAAATCACAAGAAATCATCTGCCATGATCTGGTACTAGTGCCGGCGTACTACTGCTGAGAGAGTCGGCCCATTCCTATTTGACAACCCCAGGTTTAAAAACCATAACCCTAACCCTAACCCTAACCAAACTCACGACATGTGTGTGTAAACGCTACTTGTACCAGAGGGGCCATGTCCCCCGGGGTACTGCCGGAACGTACCCTGGGTACGGTCTGGTATACCGGAACGTACCCTGGTACTATATTATATGCCGGACCGTACCTCGCCTACTCCACTAACGAGGACCGTACCCAGGGTACGTTCCG